GTTTTTAATTTCAGTATGATTGCTGTGGTACATCGACCGATATTCCAGAGACGTGTAAAGAACGTAGTCAGGTAAGCAACAGTGCATCCTATATTGTGCTAATTGAAATGGCAAATTGTAAATAAGTTATTCAACGGCGCACTTTTAAAATCAATGACTTTTCATAAGTAAAAAGGCTAAGACTAAAAAATTTTGGCGGATGAGCAAGGATTTGTTGAAAAATCTGCTGGGAAATGTGGAAGAGTACGCGGCTGGTTTTTGAATGTTCAATCCGTAATTGACGACGTGATAAGACGCAATAAATCAAGAATACTGCGAGTTTCTGAACAGTTAGTGTAGGTGAAATTGAGGTGTAATTGAGGGGACGATCCATGTGCATTGGCGCAGATGTGCATTCGAGAACAAAAAAGGCCAAGAGAGCGATTTTGGTTAGAAAACTTCGTTTTACTAGTTCATAAATTTAGAATCCCACTTCTATAAGCTCGCTCTGAGAAGTGGAGGCACTCGAGAAGTAGAGCAAGTGGTAGCAAGTGCCATTAGCAACCAATCGCTAGTAAAGGTAGCCACTGGCCAACTGTCAGGGACTATCCCTTTCAAAAATCCTTTACAAGGAAGCTGGTGACGAGTTTGACTCCCTGTTATTGTCCAACACAAATCTACAGTCAAAGCGAATGAACGAATCTCAAAAAGGACTGGTTGTCTTAGTGGCAGAGTTAAACCTCGACCTACCGCGCCCCAACAAGAAGCAAGCACAGTGGAAAAATAATGATTAAACAGTATGGAATTGAATTTTTAGCCAAATTGCACAGCAGCTGTATGGGGACGTTTGGATTTCACGCTTCAAATAGCTGGCTATATAACACTTGGAATCACTATTGTCCAGCTGATATCCGTTATTTTTGCTCTCACTATTGTTGCTTCACGTGATACAGCGCAGAGCAGCGATCAGTGAATTCTGCTTCGTTCATAAATTAATCTTTGATGCTCACTTTTTTTTCAAAAAATAATTTCTAATATTATTTCCAGCGATACAAGTTTCAGCCAAATTTTACCACGACGTGAAGGAGTGTTTTAAACTTAAAACCAAAAGAGGAGAAGGCTACTGGGCAGGTAATCCATCTTTCCAGAAAACGTATGATCAAACGCTATCTTAATCAGATAAATTTATTAATATATCATTCATCTTCATATGTCACTTTATAAATGTACTTCCATAAATGAGTAGGAAGCTGTATCGATGATTACCACTCCTCCTGCCCATTCATGGATACTGTTTGCCTTTAAAGATAAAGTATGCAGCACAAAAGAGTTTTTACCAATTATTCCTCCAAAAAATGCGACAAACCACATTCGTTCTCTTTTTTCCATACTACCTCTCATTCCCTCTACCGGTGAAATTATCTGATTTGCTACTGTTAATTTGTATTTAACCTTTATTAATTTATAATTTTGATATTTTTTACTCGTTTTTTGTATATCAAATTCGTAAGTCAAAACTCTGACACTCTTATCAGCTGTTACTTCATTATTGCCTGGTGGTTGCTGCAACCAAAACTGCATCTCCTGGTGGCTATGTTCGTCGTTCTTAGAAATTTTGATTAGCTTCAAAATACGGCTCCTTTAATCAAGCAGCTGGCAAGTTTTATCGCAGTGACCAATGACTGCACCGCTTGACAGTCAGCATGCTGTCATTCCTACCGTTCATTCCGTGTTCATCACATTGGTAATAATTATTTCTGATTTAACGCGAACTCTTCTCCTCTTGTCATAGCCAAGATTTTCATTTTCCCTCCGCCAGGAACCAAAAACTTCATCACAGCTAGCGAAAGTAATCAAATTGATGAAATTTTATTTTTTCCCTCCTCTACAACCCCTCTCTTCTTATTTTTTAAAATTTCGAAATCCAAAACTGCGCTTTCTCCAGCACGTCACAATTGCATTTCCATTTTTAATTCCTTTGCAAAATCTCCGAAATCCTTAAATGTAAACATCAGCTGCAAGAAAATTGTAAAGTATTTTCAGCTTTAACTGCATTCATTCATTCCTTCAGTGATAAAAGCAGCCGGAAATGAAATTAATCGAAAGAGGCCACTCTGAATACCTCCAATGCAAACCTTTCTTCAGTTATTATTCCATGGTTCGAGCAACCATTACTCTATCAACCATTATGATTCGTAGCAAATCTTCTTACGCAGGCTTCTTTGTGCTTGCGCTATTGTAACAAGCAGAAGGCTCTTGCTATTGTCTGGAATCAGATTTGGCAATTGGATGAAAAAAAGTACCATGTGTTTTTGTGATTTGTGTTTTTCTTTTTCTCTTCCATACTCAGATGCATGACATGCATGTGTAAATATATAAATATATATGCACGTATAAATGTTAATATATACAAGTCTTGTTTGGGAATTAACTTGTCGCGTCGACGGAAAAAATTTTTTATAGAATTACCAATAAAAAAAGAAATGAGTAAAATACACGCTTATGGAATAAGCATTCATAACAGGCACAAGAATTTCACCACGGGGCAAGAAAACTGATTGAATTCAGAAATTTTTGAATCCTTGCGCTTGCCATTAAACAAAGATTACAATGCATTATAATATTAGTATCCAAATGAATCAAAAAACATCAGGTTTGTTATATTCACATGAAAGACCGAGGTTGGTTCGTGGTACTCCCACTGTGACAGTCCGTATAGTGCCATGAGACTGCCTTGGTAATCAACAATGTGCTTTCAGTGCACTGATATCAAGTGTGCTAGTTTTTTTTTGCTCCATTTGATAAAGTCAAGAACACCAAGACAGCCCAGTCATCAGGCAGCCCATCTTAATGATGTTACTGGGATTTGCAGTTAGCGCTATCACCTGTTCGGCATATGTACGCCATCTTTTCGGGAGCCGCCCGATTGTTTGCTTCCTTCTCGGGTGCATGTAATATTTTTAATTACCAGGATTACCAAGACTTCCAAAATAATTGATGTGGAAATTTTATGCCAGCGACGCTAACTTTTTTCGCACTGAAACCTTCGTGTCGAAAATTACAGTTTTTCATACTGAACTCAAAAACGAAAAAAGATCATTGGCGACACACACTGGGCGAGCCCATGCGACAATGCGTTTTTGCAGTATTTCGTGCTGTAACGAGATCGCTCGGAAACCTCGTATCTAGGATTTGTGACATACTGGCCCTCGATTTTCTCAGCTTCCCTACTTCCCCAGTTAGTCATTTTTTCGTCAAAAAATTTTACAAGCCCGTACGTGAGAATCACGAATGCCTGGAGCTGAATCTGATAAATTTTTGTTGTACGCGTGCTGGGAACATTCCCTGAAAATTTCAGCCTCCCAGCTCTCCTCGTTCCCAAGTTAGCGATTTTCACGCCAGGGACCCTCTCGGGACAATGCACGGATACCAAACACACCTGGGGGCTGCATTTGAAATCTCTGAGTTCTATGAGGAAGGGGAACACAACCTCAAAATTTCAGCTTTCTAGCTTTTCTGGTTCCCGAGTTAACGATTTTCTCCCCAAAACTTTCGCCCCCTCGTACGCGGAGCCTAGACCTGCGTGAGAGTCGGTACCGCAGCCCTGAGGTGACACTTAGTAGCGGAACCTACCGGCAAAATTTTGGCGCTGGAGTTTGTTTGGGTGTCGAGTTGGAATACCCGGACAGACAGACAGACACACACACATACACACACACACACGCATACATACATACACAAAGACATACCAGGTTCGCCACAATATGAGTTTTTGCATTTGCATACTAAAAAACGCATAAAAAACAGAAACAGATGAAAACGACATGAATGACTCAATTTCTGACGCCAGCTCAACGTTGTCAAGAAAGAGCGAGCAGCAGGTACAGCCACGCATGCTAGACTGTTTGCAAATCATGTGAAAAAGAACGGTAGCCAGTGCGATTATTTGTTTTTGCAATAAACTTGAAGCAGTCAAGTCGTTAACTATATGAATGGATGCTGTTCTACATTTAATTTGAACAAAGAGAAATGACAAATTTCTTTGACCAGTCCTTCATTAAAAATAACCTAGTTGTTCTGGTTCCCGAGTGAGCAGTTTCCTCGCAGAAAATCTCACTTGTCCGTACGAGTGAACCATGCCTGCCTGGAAATTCAATTTGAAATCTTTAAATCGCATTTGAACGAATGGCGTTTTCCTGAAACTTCAGCTTTCCTCATATTGAGTACCCCAGTTAGCAATTTTCTCGCCAAAAACTTCACTTGCCCACACTCTGGAGCTACGCTCATCCAGGAACTGAATTCGAAGTCTTTAAACACACGTAGACAAGGAACATCCACTTAAAATTTCGGCTTCCCTGTTTTTCTGGTCCCCGGGTTGGCAATATTCCTGCCAAAACCTTCACACATCCGTACACAAGGCTGAGATTTGTATGAAAGTTCATGGCGCGTTCCTGGAGTATTGCTTGGCCAGGGAAATTATCGGCAGAAATTTCAGCGTTAAGCTTCATTGGTTTTCAAGTTGAAATACCTGAACAGACACACATGCATAAATACACACAAAACACACACATACATATCACACTATGCGTTCCTGCATTTGTATATATGCAAAAACGCATAAAAAATTTTTCACCCTGCATTGGTAAAAGACATTCACAGCCTCAAAAACACGGAAAATTAGAAGACACCTAGACAAACATATCACAAAATTGTTGAACCCATATAAACTCGTAATAAGTGTGCATTAACCAAGCAGTAGTTACCAACAACATTTAATTACACTGCAGTTATTAAAAAAAGTTTAAGAGAATTAAAAGAACAACAATACCGGTCAAATAAATGCATAACAAAGTCCACTTTCTAGGACAAACAAAAAACCAATGAAACAAAAAATTTCAAATTTTTACACATTCTAATATTTTTCCACTTTTCAAAAGAACGGTGACTTTTCAACAGATTTTTTTTTCTTCTCCCGTCCTTTTTTTAGTGTTGTTCGACCCCCGCGATCCACTATCCATAAGCTTTAGCCATTCGCCGTCGGCGCTGAACACGTTTGAAATCATTCTTTTCACTGTCATAATTGCGCGAAAAGTTCTCCACAATCATGGTGATCGGGAATGCCAGCACAAGCACACCAGATATACTTGCGCAACTGGCAATAAGTTTGCCAACTTAAAGAAAAATTTTTATTAGATGAAAAGTTAAATTTTTGCAAGTCCGTTTCAGGTTTTTATGCGTTTTTTGCAGCTGTGCAATGCAGAAAACGCATATTGACGAGAGGCTGTCTGTGTGTGTGTGTGTGTGTGC